ATAAGGACTAGACTAATAATAAAAACAAAATAATGATTTGATTATATTCATATATTTTCAAGCTTGAAATTTCATCTCAAAGAAGACGAAAATTATGCATTCGCCCCCCTCCCCAGCAAAAAAAAAAAAAGATAACACAAGGAATAATTTCTGTTCTAACCATCGGATTTTCGAGATCTAAGTCTCAAATTTATTGATCCCAAATATGCTAATTTATTAGCGTTAAATATGAATTAAGAGAAAAGGATTGGATAAACATACCTTTTTTTTCTGTAGATTTGGTTATTGACCCTTCTTGGAATCCTATCCTTACAACAAAAGTTAATTCCAGTGATTATTATTATTTTGTTCACTGTACATAATATTCAAACGATAATAAAATCTTAATCTTGAAAAATAATAATATTCAAACGATATTCATAATATTCAAACGATAACAAAAATCAAAGTGTATTTATTTTCTAAGAAAAGTTCGCATAAATTTACTTGATGTACTAACTTTTATTGTTTTGTGAAAATGATATTTTGAAAGCTTTTTAAATATTTAACAATAGGAGTGAATTCACAATATTAAATCAATGCTACCTAAAATAAGAAGAAAAAAATTTAATTTCAATAGCTGAAAGAAATTTGACACCTTTCTAAATTAAATAAATTTCCATCGAAATACGAGTTACTGAAAATGTACAATCGAGCCCAAACTTTGAGATTTCAGATAACTGCGTACTTGGAATGTAAAATGTTCTCTCCATTGAGGATTAGGGAAATTGGATTATTTCTAACATTTTTAGAAAGAGGGAAGTTGAACGAAAGAGATTGTTGCTGGCTTTAAATCGAAAAAAAGCTTTTAAGCTGTATATTCTTAAGCATAGCGCCAGGGGATCAATGAAATTGAAAGCATTTTTCAATGTATAGTTTTAGTTGTATAAACGTAATAGGAATTAGAAAAAAAAAACAATAATTCCAAAAAAAATAAATAAATAAAAATTGAATTATAATTTTTTGAGAAAAACAGCGGACTTTTGAAATAATTAATTTTAAAATATTTATAAACCGTTTTTGAAATCACTTAACTCTTCTTTACCTAAAAGTAATCTTTGAAAAAACAATGAATAGTTACTGTTTTTTAAACACTTTGCATGTTTTCATTTTCATGTCTCACAAAATATCGTGCCTAAAGTTCAACGAAATTGGAAGCCGACTCCAGCGAATATTTTTCATTATTCCTATTAGAATAGAAAACACTCACAGAGAACAATTCAATCATAAAATGCTGTTTGGAGGGCGGTGTTCATATCGCCGACAAATCACTTCACCGATAAATTGTATCATTTTGCCGACACGATCACTTCGTTGAGAACTTACTTTGCAGACAGCTAACATCAACACGATCACTTCGTTGACACGGCTATTTCATCGAAACTGTGTCGGCAATTGACTATCAGCGATATGCACTAAATCCAATTAAAAAAAATGCCATTTATTCTTGAGAATAAAAAAAATTTTAATTTCGAAAAAATACTAATGACTCAAAACTAATCCACAATTCAAAAAAATCAATTCAAAAAATGAAAGAAAAGAGAAATGTACAAAATTATTTGTTAAGTTTTTCGACAGACCGCGAAGTTGAGAGGATAAATGTTTTTTGCAACCATTCTAATAATGTTACACAGTTTTTTGCAACCATTCTAATTAAACCACTTTCACAGTAGTATATTTATTTTGTTCTCAAATTGTTCCACCTTATTGCTACAAATGATTCTTATTTTAAAAACATTATTTAATAATTTATCTCACAAGGAGCACCATCTGTTGGAGAACTTTGTAGCTAACTCAAAACTTAGTAAGAATAATACCCGGTTTTCTAAGCAGCACGCAGAAAGCCGTCAAAATAAGACGTATCGTATGAGACAATTGATATATGGTATAATGGGAGGTATTTACACGCTTATTACTATAAGGGACTAGAGGAAAACAAAACCTGCACATATTTGAAAAAATACCTCGGAATTTTAATTAATTATTGTTTAACTTTTCATACTTTTACAAAAAAATTCACGATTTTAATTGGTTTTTTTTACAATATTTTTTCACCTTGTCGTTATCTTTTGACGAAACTGTATCTATTGTTTAATCTTGTATTAATATAGATCAAGCAATAGATAATTTCATATTTGATCTAACATTAATATAGATCAAACAAAACATTCAAGGTTTGTAAGAGTTCGTTTGCTGACAAACAAAGTTACCCACATTAGATAGCGATTTTAGAATTTGAGTCCCTTTATGTTCAAGAGTTTTAACAGCTTCAAAATTGTCGAAAAGAGAAGCAGCTTGACATAGTGAATTTGGTCACTACACTTGGCAAAGTTACTCTACAAATCCCATTTTATATTCAGTAATTGAAAGCTTTTTTCTGGAATTTCGATATTTCAATTTTTTGTCAATATCTTATATTTCATTTCATTGTTATTTAAACAATGATAAATTGGTATGGTTTAATTAATATTAGAAAAAGCATAAACAGTGCTTGTCATAAAAGTTTCCTTGGTAGTAGTATTTAGCCAGTTTCTTTTCTTCCAATTTCTTTCCTAGAGCCAAGAAACACGGACTGGCCAAAAGTTTCTCGAAATACACTGGGGATCAAATTTTTTTTTCTTTTCATTTTCTGTTGCATGAGATTTTTTTAAACAGATTTTGAATATTTTCACATCGCTGATTTTAAACTTGCAATAAGTTTCTTTCTCTATGCTAGTTTTTTTTAAATGACATTTTTAGTCTTTTTTTTTTTTGTCAAAAAGTGCAAATTTCAAAACAGAGGGTTGTATTAAATACTGTGACTATTAGGGAGTTAGAGCACATTATCACGAAAAGTTTGCATAGGAAATTTCAGTTACAACATCAAGAAGTTTGTCACAACATCTACGCCACCCCTCGTAACTTTTTTAAGCATGTACACATTGACCGAAAATAGACTAAACTTGTCATATATTGTATAGATAAAATATGTAGCTTTAGGAGCAAAACTAATTTCATATTTGAAATCCCCACACCTGAATTATTCAAGATCAAGTATTAGTATAAATGCAACAAAAAATTATCAGTTATTTATTAATTAGTTTTTAAAATATTAAAATATAATTTTCTTATTAGTGCATCTGCAAAGATTTTCACTATAAATAATTTTTTAGCAAATAAACTTTAAGCAAAAAATTAACTGTTCAGCTGGCATATATCATCAAAAATAACTTGATAAAAGTGCCAAGTAGGGCTATAATAACTTTTATTCAAATCTCCCATGATGATGAATGATACCCAGACACTAGATATAAGAAACTTTTACTTCACACAATAGAGAAGGGCAGGCAATTTCTCGTAATCACGTGGGACAAAAATTTTGCAAGGAGAGTGTAGTGTTCCATAGAAATTTCTGAAAGGATACTGATTTAAGAAGCGGCTATGACACAAATGATGCGAAAAGTTTTCCTAATTACTTATGAAAATTTATATTTTCTCTGTATTTCATTTTATAACCGTCGACCCAATTATCGGGTTTACGACTACTAATGTTCAACTACGTAGCCTTGTAATTTTGAACCCAATCTAGAGGACAAGGGAACTCCTGGATTAAGTATTGGGAGAAATTTGCTTTGTGGAGGACTTTTTGATGGAACTAACCTGCATTTGCGTTACAAGGGGAGGAAGATCACGAGAACCTCCCACGGTTAACCAGATGGCAAGAGGACTCTAAGACATGATCCGTCTACTACTGAGGATATTTTATGACAACACTGTGGTCAGTGCAAGTCGGATGTGGAATTCGTATCGACCAGCCACCGCTGGGATTCAAACCCGGTTCACCTAATTGGAAGGCAAACGCTCTATCCCCTGAGCCATCGCGGCTCTTTCCATGTATTTCATGTGCATAATCAGATTTTAAACAAATAAGCATCTATGTTAATCTATAACTAAAATAGCCTCCTTTGCAATAATGGTACATCTTGGTAAAACGTGATAATGTAAAATATATAAAAATACTCTTCAGAATCTTTTTCACCACCTGAAATTCGCACATCATGTTCCAGTTATTTACAACTCCAATTACAGTAGTGAGATTTTAACAAACTTGAAAATAAATAGCTGCATTTCTTATCAGAAAAGGATACTGTAGATAAATAATGCATGAATGAATATGCCAATAATTTTGAGAAACATGTCTTAGAATGAAATGAAAAAAGAAGCTGCATATAAAACATGCTTTTCACAGTGAAAAACCACCTCATTCACAAAAAATAATGCTTTGTGTTTAAATTAAACTATAATAAAATATCTATATTTGTTAACATTGATTTTATAATTGGAAATTAAAGGGTTTTGAGAATGTCTTCGAGTATTGATGGCACAGCGGCAAAAGCACTTGTCAATGTGAAGGGCTGCAGTTCTATCCGGGGGCAGATTAAAGTTAACCCAGCATAAAATCGAAGAGTCCCAGTTTGCCAGTTAAGAAAAGGCGCACAGTGCGCAGTGCTGAGCAAATTGCTACCATAAAACCATTGGTCTTGAAATTGTGGAAACTTCAACTCAATGAACTCCTGGCCAACAGTAGGATGTTATCAGAATGCTTTACTTTTTTTACAAAATTTCATTTCATATAGTCTTGCATTATTCTATTCATCTTTCCTCTTTTGGAAATTATAAAGTTTTCCAATGGTCATTGAATCTTGATAACTCAGTGGTTTAGGCACTCAGCTGCAATTGTGAAGGGCTGGAAGCCTATCCAGCTTCAGATCAATGAATAACAGCTTGTCTGGGAAGTGAATTTGGATAGTGTGCAATGTAGGCCGCATTTCTACCATTGTTCACGAAATTGTAAAGCCTTAATATCTGGTCCACAACAGGATGGAGCGTGAATGCTTTAATTCATAACAAAATGTAATCTATCATGTTTTTTTAAACTAATCTATTCAATTACATAACAGTGATTCTTTTCAATCTTTTAGGTTTAGAGTGCATGGAGTGAAAACCAGGATGGCTATGCGTCTGTACCACAGACGCTCCTCAGCAACAAGGGAAAAAATTCAAATGCAAAATGGACTGTCTCCAAATTCATCCCTTCGACTTCAAGTGCTGGGAGCTACATGTGGCCATAGAGATTCTTTGGGAGTCAACCGACAGCGATCACAGTCACTTTACCCAGGCAGTCCCAACTGCCTTGGTATACCAACTAGATCGAGATCTCATTCATTTAGTGGACCGTCAAAAACACCTAAATTAGCAGAAAAGCAACTGACCCCATCGGAAGAAGAACAGATATTCCGATGTTATACAAGGGTTATGTATATTTTGTTAGGTGGAATGGCAGCAGTGGTTATGACTCTGGTACTATATGGGATACGCTCATTTACGAACATAACCTGAGCACAAGCAGTTGAGTAATTGTATATGTATATAGTGTTTTAAACCTCAGAGTTCCTAAATAAGGAGTGAAGCTTGAATTTCTTTCTTGAAATCAAAGCAGTTTGAGTGAAGGCTTCGATTAATGTTCAATTTAGTGGCATGCAGAGAGGGGAGTTGCGGCCCAGGGCATCTTGGACAAAGAGTGCACCCAATCAACAATTAAGGAGGCTAGAAATTTAAATTTATTATACATTTTAGAATGAAATTATTACTTTGAAGGTAATTATTTGGCTCAAGCAATATATTTCAAAAAGGATAAAACTTTTTAATTTTCAGAAATAATAAATTTAAATTAATATTATTTTATTGCTAATTTTAAAATTTTTACCTTAGAATAGATAACAATAGATATCTTTTATACAAATTATAAATATGAATTTAGATTTGTTTTTAAAATGCTTTTTGCTAGATTAAAATAGATTCTCCCGGCAATGATTACACTCCTCAATTCAAGAGCATCTAATATAATCATTAATTAATAAGGTTGCCAAGCGCATCCAAATGCCTTTGCACGCCACTCCTTCAATTTAGAACATTAGTCTCATGGTATTGGTTTTAATTGCTTTCTTCTTTGGGAAATTCTGCAAAAGGTTACTGAAAATTATATAAATACACTGATGAACTCAGAAAATGCTTAAAAAGTTATTTCACCTCCAGAATAACTTATAAATAATAATACAGTTGGGTATTAATAATAACACCATCATGTAGGGGATATCGAAATACTAGAGCTTTAACTTCCGAGGTACCTTGTTTGGGTGTAAAAAGAGTGTTTTTCTTTAAAATTTTATTTTAGAAGTAAAAATTATACTTGAAAATAATTATCCATTATTTGTAATAACATTGACTTAAAATAACCTGTATAAACATATTAGATGTACTTAAAAAAATTATTTTTTTATTCACTTGCAATAAAAACAAAATATATCAATTCCTTATCACAACTAGAGTTAAAGGAATGAAAGAATTTGTGATTATTTATGTTTCTACCACGAGTGAAACATGTATATTATAAAAAATGGATTGCATTTAGAATATTTGTAAATATGTTGAAAGAGAATGAATTTCATCCAATGCACCTTGTTAAAAAAATTGTACGAGTATTGCTTTGAATTATTATGAATAAATGTCTTCTACAAATGATATTTAGTTTTTGCATAAAAATAAATAAAGGGGGGGGGATAATGGATAATGGAATTCCAAAAATTTATGAAGCACTATTAGATCAAATTTTTGAAATATTCTTAAGCTGCTTCAAGCAAACTTAAAAAACACCATGTCAGCCTAACATTTTATCTAACTTTTAAACAAGGTTCGTGATTTTTTTGATTTTTTAAAAAAAAAAATCAGATTTTTTTGATTTAAATCGGATTTTTTTGATTTTTATTCAAACACATTGTAAGAACTTTAATTTATGATTAAAAATACTTTATAAATGTTTAATCAAAATTTAATTAATATTAAAACAATATTATAAGAATATTTTGAAAGCTCTAACTTACTAATATAATTTTTCATTACAATACATAGCTTTGCATAGCAACCATTTTGTAACAAATGCATAATTGAAATTTGAAGACTAGATGAAATAGAGAATTTAATGAAAGTGGTCTGTCTAGATTTTTCTGAGAGGTATTTATTTTGTGAAAATTTAGACATAATTTGTGAGAATTAAAAATAATATTAAAAAATCAACACAAAAATATGGATTTATTCGTTTCTTACGAAACACAAAAATAAAATTTAAAAAAAAAGTATTTTGTGAAACTATTGTTTTTCCTTTGTTGATTTCCAAAGTTGAATTTGTGAACGTGCCCTAAGCAGTAGCAAATTTGGCTTGGACAGACTCTTTAACTATTAAATTAAAGTTTCAATTAGCAAACCATAATTTTAATTTAAAATTGTTTTTTCTTCTCTTTATTTTTAATATGACGAAATAAATGTAACAGATTGTGCTTATAAATGTAGTCATTCATCAAAANTGCGTGAAATCGGAGAAAATAGCTAAAATAAGTAAAAATGCGGAAGGGTTAGCAGCTAGGGCGTAGATTGAATTTTCTGTTTATCTTTGAAAATCGTAAATAAATATAATTATTTTACTTCAATGACTGAATTTAAAAAAAACGGGATATTTATTTAAAAAAACGAAACTTTTAGAGAATCGGAGTTTTTGATAAAAAGGCTGAAATTCGAGAGACAAAAAAAATCTCATCCCTGTATAAAGGTCAACCAGTTTTATCCCAAGGAAATGATTTTTAGAGAAACTTCAGAGGGAGGAAAAGGGACTTCAACAATTTCCCTCCGCGGAAAATTAAATTCCTCATAAAACATTTTAACTTGGGCAAAAAACAATTTCAGAGGAAATTAGCGGAAAAAATGGAAAAATCTGAAAAAAAGCGGAAATCCGCGGAAGAATCTCATCCCTGAGAATCAAAAGATTTTTAAAAATATAATTTCAAATGTGTTGGAATTTAACACACACCAAGAAAGAGAGTAATTTCGTTAACTAAAATTAATTAACACAGCAATTTACTTAAAAATAATTTTAAAACTAAGAAAAGAAAATAATAAAAGTATCAGTAATTTAAAACACTGTTTTTTAACTTTTAAAATCAATATATATAAATCAGTTGATTTAAATCAATGATTTTTTTAAAAAAATCATTCGATTTAAATCAAGCTGATTTAAATCAACGAACCCTGCTTTTAAATAATGAAATAAACCATATTAAATATATTTTATGCTAATTTTTATGAATATAAACAACAATAATACAGTGTGTTATAGTTATATACTGTATTATAACTTAACGATATATAATTAGCTTAAAGACAAAAATATGTATTAAAAACTTAAAAAAACTTTCTTAGTAAATTATTGTGTTAAAAACTTTTAGCAAACTTTTTTTGTTTTAAAATGTGATGCTTTTATATACATTGAGAATTGCAATTTGGGTCAGAACCCTTCAGATAGATCGCAGGCATCATTCATCAATGAGGTTAATTCCACAATTTAGACATATATCTGAAGGGGACGGAAATTTCTTCCAGATCTCTGTACTCATGGCACTGCTCAGTGACTGACCATAAGAATTTTGATTCCACTTATTTTAGGAGCATGTACTGGACGGGTCTTAGCAGCTTTGAGGATCCCCCAGACGAAGTCGATGCTCTAAACACTAGGTTACCACTGCCAAAGGAATCTAGTCTTCAAATTTAGTGAAACACTTTGAAAATTGGCTGGTCAATATGATGCCAACTGGCACTGCAATGTGTAATAACATTTTACTGGTTTGGGTTTAGCGCATTAAGAATTAAATTTTGAATTTAAAAGATAATTAGGGATAAAAGATAATTATTGTCCAAAAATGGAAAGCTTGGATCATATCAGGTGATGAATATTTGTTAGAATTAAATGGTTAAAGAGTTAAAACAGGAAATGGGTGAGGTTTTATCTAAATTAAATGTAGAGGCCTGTTACTGATCGATTAAAAATAGAATAATGAATAAGATGAAACAAGATGGCTGGGAGCCATTGTTTCGAAGGATACATTCATCGATCAGATGGTAATTAATATAATGTGATCATAAATAAAAAACACTTCCTCAAGAACTAGGAATTTATTTTTAAGGTTAGCAGAAATATCAATTTCTCACTTTGATTTAACCAAAATAATAAAAACTACAAAAAATTTTGATAACCTATATGACAACAAGGTCATGTTCCAGAAGTTTTGTATGATGCAATTTTTCGACCATATAGAGGGAGCTGGATATGTCCAAGTGGTCTTCCCTCTAAAGAATTCGGAACATTATAATATGATGGAAAACAACAAATATTCTTCCAAGTTCTTTCGCTATTAGAGATTTGTAGTTTATCTAAAAGTTTAGATGATAGCGTTGGTATAATGGGCTGAAGTAAAATACCACAAATACGTAATGTTTCTAAGACAACATGCAAAATAGTTGATAGTCTTTTCTTGCTCACATCATCATTTTGCTTAGCTAGTTCCCAAGGTTTGTTAAACTGCATAAATGCATTTGTGTCTCTCAGGCACTCAATGATGCAATCCAAGCCTTTATAAAAGTATCCACCCAAGAAATGCTCCTGGACTTGACCTGGAAAAAAATTATGTATAATTGAACAGCAAGAAAATATATTAATTTATCAGCTAACAATGTGAAAAGGAAAACATTGAGTAGATTTAATAGTCATTCATAATAAAATTTCATTCTAAATGTTTCAAAATATCTAAAATATTTCAAATGTCTTAATTTTGAGGATTTTTTATATTTATTTAAATACAAAAAGTGCACACACTAATAACAATAGATTTAAATTAACAGCAATATTTTTGAATAGTAATAGATGTTTTATTTATTTATTTTTGATAGTTTTTATATATTATTTAATTTAAAAATAAAGAGCTCTAATTGATAACAAATTAAAAATAGAAAATTTTCTATAATAAAATGCGGCTTACTTCAAACATTATTTAGCTGTAGTACTTATTTAAATGTTCAAGGAAGCAATGACTTAAGTTACTATTTTTTCGATTAATTTTTTTCAATCATCTTTTCATTAGAAAATAATTTTAAAATATACAAAAACCAGAATTGTTTTTTCATTAAATTAGAAGAAAGTGGTAAAATCTAGTAGAGCATTAATTGAAAATTTTTTAGTAGGTTTTTTTTTTCAGGAACTTTTTAAACATACAGAATCTCCTAAATTATAAAATAACTTTGATTTCTTAATTAAATGAGGAGAAAGTGGCAAACTCCAGAATATGAATCCGAATTTTTTTCCGAAACTTTTTTAATTATAAGGAACTGTGTAAAGTATGGAATAACTAAGTTTTTTTATTAATTCAAATTGGATTGAAGCTGCTGTATAAACGACAGGGAGTAATTAATATGAGTTATACTAGAAGAAACTGGCCAAATCTAGCAGAGTTTGCAATATTAAATTATGAACCAGTCTTTGAAAATAAATTTTTAATCATCAGCTTTAATCATTTCATGTCAGGATTTTTTTATTTAAAAAAAGCTGGCCTCAAACAAACAAAACAATATTCGGAGTTAACATAAATAACATGAAGCTGTAGAAATTTATCGTCTACTTAGATCTTATTTGAATGAAAGTAACATAGATGGCTGGTACATTCATAATTATTTTTTAAATTCAACTGCAAATAAAAAAATAATTAAATAAAAGTATGTAAGGCAAATTAATCCAAACAAATATTAATACAAGATTAAAAAAGTGATCAAGAGCAAGTGCAGGTTTTAAACTTTCTGTTATTAAAACGACACACAGGGGCTGAGTGGCAGCGTGTCGCGCTCCCGTGCCACAGGTCCTGGGTTCGATCCTTGGGCCGGGCAAGGATGACTCAGCCTTTCATCCCTTTAATGGGTTGATAAATGAGAACCAAGCATACTTGGGAACTAAACACTGGGGGTTTCGTGTTTAGCTGACCACCTAACCGGAACATCTGCTCCTGCACCCCAAAGCCCAAGGTCAAGAAAACTGAAATGGGCACGGTAGTGCTTGTCGCACCACTGAGTTTAGAGGTTAGTCATTAAAACAAAAGTTTAAGTTCAAATACTTTAACATTTAGAGATTTAGGACTATAATGTGCTACAATAATTATTAAAGCTATGTCAAAAAATAACACAATACTTAATAAATGCATTGTAGTGAATTGCAAATGTTAATAATAATAAAAATAAGAAGGGCATTTTTTCAAATTTACCATGTTTCAAAAATAATTTATAGTTATAGTAATATTTACCAGTAGGTGAAGTAAATAACATACTTTTATTTCTTAACTTCTTAGTATTAAAAAAAACTATGAGTTCAAACTTTAAGATTTTGATTTAAGTAAAAATGAATTAAATAATTTTCTATTGAATGCTTGCATTTGAAACTATTTTAATTAGAGTATACTTCATACATTTTTTCCCACGAATAATTTTTTTAAAATCATTACACAGCATAGCTGCCAACACAGATAGGGAAAAAATACAGTAGATTTTACAAAATAGTATAAATTTCATGATAATTATCGCACAATGTTCTAAATATTTTAAAAATAGCGAATTTTAGGGATTTTAAAAGTCATCAGTTATGATTAGGGTTGCAAGTTTGTCGCGGGATAAAAAGACATAAATTCGCGGGTGATTCGCGCAAAAGTTTTAAAAATTCGCGAAATTTTCGCGGATAAGATATGCACTGATATTTACACCGAAAATCAATTTAAAAATAATAAAAAAGTTACAAAATTTTATTTTTAGGCAATATTAATGCCGTTACTTAAATGTACAGGATTTTGATACAAAATATTATACATGGTTAGGTTATTCTTGCTAATGTTTCGCCTTTCATGACTCAATACATTTTTGTATTTTGAAAAAGATCGTTCGGCATCCACACTATTAGTTGGTACTGACAAACATCGAATTGCCACTTTAGACAGTTTTGGATAGCGTCCCATCTTCGATTTCCAAAACTGAATTAATTGTCTACTTACAACGTGTAGTTCATTAACTGTCGCTTTGTAAGCATTAAATTCGTTCTTCAACTCTTCTTCATCCTCAAACATGGGGATAGAATTAAAAATAAAAGAACTATCATCTTCTTGGAAAACATCTAAGTATTTGAATTGACTAGGATCAAAAGCTCTGCATGCTTTAAAAAAGCTTGATGCTGGTTGACGAAATCTGTGTGTTGTAATATTGCCTTCAAAAAAGTATGCCTGAATTTTTTCCTGGCATGATTTTAAAGCTTTTTTAGATTTCAAGTGCTGGCAGGTTATAGATTTGCTTTTTAAATCTTCAGCAAGATCAGACATTTCATTAAAAATAACATGCAAACTTATTCTTTGTTTTTCATATAAATTTAATAGATTCAAAATTAAAGATGCATATTTTTCAATCTCTCTTAAATCTTCACTCAATTCTGCGTTACAACATTCTTCGGAAATCGTGCTGATCAAAGAACTACTGCTATTTTGTTGCTCTTTATCGAAGAACTCTGCATATTCAGCTAAGTAATTTACGTGAAACAAAGCTGCCTTAAACCAGCTATTCCATCTGGTTTGTAC